GTGTCAGCTAGATTTGTCTGGCCTGGTATAAATCGCGACGTGCGTATCTGGGCACGTGCCTGTGTGCCGTGTCAACGAGCTAAAGTCCACAATCACAACATCACTCCAGTGGGTTCCTTCTCCACACCCGATGCTCGCTTTAGCCACGTACATCTAGATATAGTGGGTCCTCTACCACCATCAAATGGCCACTGTTACTTGTTGACATGTGTCGACCGGTTCACTCGTTGGCCAGAAGCTATTCCCATCTCCGATACGACCGCGGAAACCATTTGCCGAGTGTTCATGGAACGCTGGGTAGCTCAATTCGGATGCCCATCTACGGTGACTACAGACCGTGGACAGCAGTTTAAATCAACCCACTTCAAGAAGCCCTTAGAGCTGCTGGGGTGCAAACGCATCCGAACAACCGCGTACCATCTAGCAGCAAATGGACTAGTAGAACGTTTTCACCGCCAACTGAAAGCTTCGTTAATGGCTACCGAGAATACTAAGTGGACCGAGTCACTTCCCCGAGTGCTACTTAGCATCCGTTCCACGTCCAAAGCAGACTTACAGTGCACCTCCGCAGAGTTGGTGTTTGGTACCACCCTTCGTCTACCGGGTGAAATTATCTCACCTGAAAGTTGTGAGCCAAGTGCTACGGATGTACACTGTTATGCTCAAAATCTCAAGCGCCTTATGCAGCGCCTGCAACCAACTCCCACACGCACACAAAACAAGAGAGTGCAAGTAGATGCTAGACTCGATGACTGTAGCCACGTTTTTGTGCGTTGCGACGCCGTTCGTAGACCGTTACAACCTCCTTATGATGGACCATTCAAGGTCGTTAGTAGGAAAGAAAAATTTTTTGTTATTGATCGACTTGGCCGTCAAGATACCGTAAGTGTCGACAGACTTAAAGCGGCCTACATTGAAGAATCTGTACCCCTCACGCCTACACAACCAGCAACCACGCCCGCAACCACACCCCAGCCAAGTTCGATTGTCGAAAATCCTACTAAACCTAGCAGTTCTCCGGATGAGACAAGTAAAGCACCGGTTACACGCTCTGGTCGGCGTGTACATTGGCCTAAACGATACTGTGAATTTGTTAACTAAACGCTTTTAAATACAAGAGTTACTCATACCTTCATGTCTTTTCTCACGTTACATTCATTTTTCATGATATTTACTCTTTTGGGTTTCGTTGTGGGCAGTAGTCACTTTTTCATTTACTAATCCTGCTAGAGTTCTTTCTCGTTACAGTGTTCTAACATTTTATTTTTGGCGTTGCACTCGAACCGCTAGTTAGACTAGTCCATTCCATTGTCGTATGGTGACTCCCAACACTCGTGGAATTACAAACCAAACGAACAAAAATATGGACCAGATAAAAAAATAATAAAATATAAAAAACAAAAATATAATAAAATGTAAAAACAAAAACTTTCACTGTATAGTTAAACGGACCGTTAAATATTTTTGTATATAAATACGTCACTTCTATGCTGTACATTTTAATCCGCTCAGTCTATTTTCACAGATTTTACTATTTTCACTCGGGTTATGCCATGATGAAACTTATTTATTTTGTGACCCATACTGGTAATTACTTTGCATCACTTTAATTAAACAGCTCGCAACATTTTTTTTAACAAATGGTGATTGTACCTATTCATAGCTATTGGTTATACACACACTTCTCTGTACTTTTCATAAGTTTTCACAGCGCTAGCAATTTCCCTTGTTTTATTTCAATTTGGCGTACCACTCCCATGTTACACTAGTTCCTTCGCATTTATTCCTCCTAAGTTCTCGTTAACAGCTTATGCTGATTTTTAAATCTTAACCTCTTCTTCTATTCTTTTCTGTTGCTTTTACTTTATTCCTCCTAATACGCTGGTATATTGATTGCCTTTGGTGTTACTACGAGTTTTGGTTGATGAGAAAGGATGGAGCGTTAGTCTAAGAGGAAACTTAGACATAATGAGTCACCTTCCCGTTATAACAACCTGGGGTAACGGAGGTAAACCATCAGACCTCCACATAACCCAGCCCGTAATAGTATGTCGTAAAAAAAACTAAATAAATAAATTAAATAAAGATAAAAAAGATAAGTAAAAATAAATGATGTTAAAAAAATAAAAAAACAGACAACTCAGAAGCGCGAAATCGCACCAAGGCACCAGCGTTATTCTTTCTTATATTCCATCTTACTCCATTGATCATGTACATAGTGCTCATAAGCTGCCTTAATTTTTTCCTTCATTCTTTCCTTTCTCAACATATTTTTTTAAAAAGAAAAACAACTATTTTATTACTATCTTCACACTTTCTTGTTCATTCACTGTTATTGTACACCACCTTGTTACTTTTATATATCGAAGCTTGCTGTTATCCCACCAACCTTCTAAGGGGGAATAACCTGTAGTGTACATTGTACCTTTGAACTTTTGTTTGAATGAACGCAACCTGACCTTTAACCCCACTTCCACTTTGTATTCCTGTGTAATGAAATAAAAACCACCATAATGCCACTAAATAAGTTTCTTTTCTTCTTTTTTCAGAAAGAAACGCTGACGTGGCCTCACTGGAACAGGAGGAAGATCGTTTGGCCAGACTTGTTATAAGTGACGATAATTAGCTTGTACCCGGTTAATTCAATCCGGTCGTGGTTGAAATAAAGATCTCCCTCTCGTCTTTTCGTCTTCTTCCTTTTCCGTTGGTTGTGGCTATTGCTTGCGTGTAACAAATTGGTGTCGGAGGTGTTTTATCTACACTTAACATGGCAAATCGACCAGAGGATCAGCCTCCCAAATTGTTTCCTCAGGATAGTGCTCCATCATTGCCTAGTGTACCACCGCTTTCCTGCCCACCACTGCTGCAACCATCATCAGATTATCCTCGCTGGAAGATACGAATGCAGGCGTTCCTGGACGTTGCCACAGCAGCCCACCATTTCGTCCACGTCCTCAACAACTTATCAGAGGATGCATTCGCCCGTGCACACGCTGCTGGGTTCAGTAAAACCAACTCCATGCAAAAGAACTGGGAGATTCTAGATCAATGTTTTGACCTGAGGCTGGGTTCTCAACATACCCTCTTACAACTGCTCTCCCGCCGACAACTACCAGGAGAGAGTTTCCTGGAATATCTTAACGCTCTCCAGCTACTGGCAGCTGGACTTGACAATCACGATAGCCCTGGCAGCACAGACCAATTGGTATGCACCCGCTTCGTCGAGGGAATGTTGCCTGGTGACCTGCGCACCAACCTCCGACGTCAGCTCCCAGCCAACACGTCCAAGTTACAGAAGATTATTCTCCGTTTCATGGACGCCGAGAACGACCACGTGTCGACACCCAGCACCTCTATGTGCCCAGTATCAACAAAACCCAATGCACCCGCCGTGACCCCCGTTCGCCGCGACCGTTCAAGAAGCCAACAACGCTCAAATGGGGACGCTACCCGTCGCTGCTACTATTGTCAACGCTTCGGGAAGAAGGCCCGTAAGTGTGGCCACAATCGCCAGCCGGCCCGCAGTAAGTCCCCTGTTTTTAATTTGTCTACATACTCTTGTAACCGGCAACCTTTGATGTTATGGGGACATATTAATGGAGTGCCCTCTAAAGTCCTCTTAGATACTGGCGCGTCGGTCTCTCTAGTAAAGGCTTCCTTCCTTCGACGCTTGCCCCAGTACTCACCCCCAGTAACCACTCACACCATCTTGACGACAGCTAATGGTGCCAAACTGGAGGCCCGATCTGCTACCGATCTACAGCTGCGTCTTGGAGACCTAGATGTGCGCCATCAGTTTCTTATCTGCGCCCAGATTACATGGGACCTCATCCTAGGAGTAGACTTCTTGAGGTCACACCACACTCTTATAGATATCACCAATTCTCGAGTCACAATTGATTCTGTCACTATACCCGTATATAGCCCTCAGCAACCGCGGTCTGCTGCGTCAAAGTTATCAGTGTCCACCATCATAAATCAAGTTTCAGTTGACCCATCTGCTCCTGCTCCCCTCCGAGGGCAAATGCTGAAATTGATTGATGAATACGCTGATGTGTTCGATGATGGGGGTAATCCAGGACGCACTGGTGTTGTTCAGCACCGTATCAATACAGGCAGTCATCCGCCTGTGCGTCAACCACCCCGACGGATCCCCGTACATTACCAGCCCCAACTGGACGCCCTGATACGAGATATGTTGGATAAAAAGAAGAAAAGAAACTTATTTAGTGGCATTATGGTGGTTTTTATTTCATTACACCTGATCCTCCTGTACGGTTTCGGTTTCGCTCTTTCGCTGTACTTCCACCTAGTACACTCTCCGAACTAACCACCGTCTCACCTACAGATAAGTGTGTACCTTTTATTTCTTATCAAATTCTATATCTCTTTTTGTAAATACAGTTCTGTTCCAGTCACACTTGCCATCTCTAGTTTTTTAACTTTGATTCCGTTTGTTAGTACTTGCACGTTAGGCAGAGTACTATTAAGGCCATAAGCGGTGAAGAAGTTTTGTAAGAGCGGTTATTGTTAGGTCGAAGTAAATCTGAGTGTAACTCTCACAAGGGTCTCAGGTGAATTTAGAAACCTGTCAATAGATTTTCCACCTTCTGACGAATTTTCGTGGCCAGTTTCATATATTTATGGAAAACACGTAACAGGAAAGAAGGAACCAACCTAGTAATTTAGTTAAATGAGAATTGAATGAATGAAAATCATCTAAGTTTTGATGTGGCGCTGAATACGGTTGTGGTTTCTTACCTGTCGGATAAATCGTTGTTGTCTAGTTCCACGCAATGTCATTACTAATCATATGAAACACATGCCTCTTTTCGAAAATATAAAAATATAAAGAAATCTCTTAAATTCCCCAATGTTCCGTGTCAGATTCGAGTAAGTAATTCGTTTATCATGTTTATGCTTAGGATTTATTGGTGTACATTGCAAGAGAAGGTGTGGCAGTCACTGACCTGTTTAGAAGACCAGGTAATCCTCAAGATATGAAAAAAATCATAGCGGATCTTGAGGCCGGCAGGCCAATCAAGTGGACGGACTATAACTTCTATACACTTGCGAATATTGCCAAGCGTTACCTCCTCCATATTGAAGGTGGTGTTTTAGGCCCTCAATCTGAAGAGAAGCTGCTCTCTACACTTGATATACAAGATGATCAAGCTCGGATTGAAGCGATGCACAGGTATGCAATCAGTGAATTTTATGAATCTTTGTTCACTATTATTAAATAGAGTTTGTAGAGTATTTGAAATAGGTTTATTTATTTGTAGTTATTGGTGCCACTCAGTATAGCTATTCTGTTATGAATTAGTTGTACCCACATAATGTGATCTCGTCTGACAAATTTACAAACTACAATGATAACTGGATGCTATATGACTGTAGTTAATCATTCATGTTTTAAGTACGAGAGTTCAGAAATCGATGCACTCATTCATTTCAGTATATTCTGCGAGAAATTTATTTTGAACATCTAGATGTACTAGGTTGTTTTATCAAGTTATTAATGGCAGACCACTGCATTTGGTTCAATACTAGTTTGACGCGACTGGTGGATTCAGACGTTTGACTTTCTAACGTCGAATTACGAATGCAAACTCTCCACTTGGCGAGTCTCCAGTCTAAATTGGTGAATTTCAGACTAAGACTACTTTAACTAAGTTAGTCCTATCTCAGAGATTAGGAGAGATTTATGTGCTTTTTAAGTATCTAGGTGGTTATTACTTTCCAGTTGGCCAGACCGTAGAGGATAATTTTTAATTGGAGTACCTGAAACAGGGACATTGGTGTTGCGTAACAGCAGAACCCATGAGGCAACTAATTATAGCCGACCACACGATCTGTACTAGGACCTTATTGCCAGTTACGGACCGTCTCAAGGTAAGTGAGGATGACCAGTTTTTGGAGCCGACCTCTTCTAACTGAATTTCAGAGATCGAAGAAATGGCGTAGCTAGTTTTTTGGTCATCTAGGGGAAATAACTTACTGCTGTCACATCCTTATTCGCCAGCAGCCCGACTTCACTCACGAACCCTCCAGCATAGTGTAAACTACTGTAATTGTTTGTTGTCTAACCGCTTTTCTAACTACTTTTCTGGCATAGTAAGACCTGAGGTACCATTAGTTCTATCCAGTGTAGTTCTTTGGGTCATTGTTATATGCAAGCCCGCCCACCACGTCAGGGTAGCAACTATCATTGGAGACTGGGTGTAAAGACTCTTAGTGAGACGGCTCAATATCTTTCACAGTGGTGCAGATGTATCCACTCGTGATCACTAACCACTTACGTACTGTGTCAAAACAAATTATGGGATAAATGTATGTAGTCTCTTAGTTCGATCCTCTTATAGAGATAAAGATATCTTGTCTTGAGTCGCCGAAGGTATAAGAATCATTGACTAAAGACTGTTAGTGACGTGACTCGAAATAGTTCTCTTTTTGATCTCCCAGATCCATTGAATCCTTATTATTTTCCATGTAATTTATCCTTTCTCCCGCACGTTCCAGTCGTATTTTTTTGTTTCATCTTACCTTTATGTGTGCTTATGTGAAGTCTGGCAACTTAGATTGCAACACTGTTGTGCAAAGTTATAGACTAGAGGTTCTGTCAGTCATTTATTCTGTTCACCTTGAGCTTTCTTGTGCAGTTGGAATTGTGACAATCCTAATTGGGTCCACTTTTGTGCTAGACAACCCAGACACAAGCTACCACATATTGAGTATTCCTCATGAAAGTACTTGTAGTATTCGGGTGCATTTGACTCGACTAACACATAATTTTTACTTCTCAGTTACTTTTTGAACTTCTACTTTGTTTTAGTGTGATAGTTTCTCAACCGAAACCGGTTCAGCAGCTACTTGCTCTATTGTTTGGCATCTGGTTTCGAATGATCTATCATACAGAAGTTAATGCAATGTCTGTAGAAGCGGTGGCTAAATCTGTCGCTGGATCTGTTTTCCCAAGTTGCACAACTACTCCGAGAAAAGTGAGAGATTATTAGTTTTTTGTGCGTTACTTTAATGAAAGACTACAAATATTGTTTTTGTTTACTTAGAAGATAATTCATTCTAGGTTTATTTTCATCTTCATTGTTCATCTGGAACTTTTATTTTTGGGATTGCGTTCATGACTATCTATTAGTCCATTTATGAGGTTATTTCACCTTTATGAAATTCGGTTTATATCTCATATACTTCCTCTTCCACAATTCACTACAGTAATTTGAAGATCCAAAGGAATTGTATTTGCATCATCATCAAGGTAGCATTCTAATTATGTGGATGGTTGGTTCATGCAGCTGTACCAGTTAGCACAGTCTTCATACTGTAGGGTAGTAAAGTAAAGCTCAGTCGTGTATATTTGTGATTTAGTTTTATTAGTATGTGTAGACGATTCAGTTCAATAGATATTAATTTATTTCCAGTGACGAAGGGTACAAATCTATATGGATCGCTGTGTAGTCTCGTTCATGTGTAGATGGTGGGATTCTTAGGCCGAATAAGTTTCATCGCATAAATGAGTACGGGCAAGTTTCCTCTTACGTACTTATATTTTATTTATTTGTTTAAAAACCTGGATTTGGTACAAGTTAGGTACGAGAAATAACAGTATGAAAAAGAGAGGAGAATTTTATTTGTCAGTTTGTTGGATTTTGCCAGTCTGCAAGTCTTCGAGTTTGTGTGACACTAGACATACATCATCCACATGTGGAATCCAGATCTTCTAGAGTCTTCTCATTGGTGGTCTAGCGTATTCCTGTCTCCTCGCTCCCCACAGTGTTCCGCATAATCCAGTCCGCCACAGTCAGGAATATCATTCGGGGTGGTAGTAGGTAGTCAGTCTACCTTGTCTTACTGCTGTCTTCACTTCGAACGCCTCGCTGAGTTTCCCGTTGTGAATCACCTGACTAACACGTGGCGGGCATTGTCATAAAGCCAGTTGTTGAATGAGGCTGATAAAGATTTGGGAACTGGACGCCGTAGTGTTGAAGTAGTTTCCAAATTACTTCTCGGTCAACGATGTGCTGTCTGGTGAAGGCCTTCTCGAAGTCAATGAAGGAAGTTGAGGTAGAGAGAGGTTTGACTGGCATTCTATGTTTTGTTCTGTGACGCCGTTGCGTAGAGTTGCAATTTGATCAGCACATGATTTGCCTTTCCTGAATTCAGCTTGCTGCAATGGGTGGATGCAGAGTTCTGCATCTCCAGGATGACGCGACTTAGTATTTTTTTCGCTGCGTAGACGAACGCATTATTCCATGCTAGTTCTTCTTGCAGAATGAGACATAAATCGCTCTTCTTTGGCAGCTTGACAAGGCAGCCAGTCTTTCTTCCAATCCGTAGGCACCTTTCCTTCCTCCCTCCCAAGCTCTTTGCAACTGTGGCGTGGGCATATCTGCTGCGGTCTGTGGGTTCGTTTTCAGTGTGTCAGGGGAATTCTGTCTGGTTGTGATGCCTTCCCTGACTTCAGTAGCTTGATCGCATTCAGGATTTCTGCTTTCGTCGGAGGATTGGTGTCCACTGGTGGGCAGTTCCGTGCATGCTGTTGTTGTTAAGGTTGGTGGTATTTCTGGGTGAGTTGTAGGCGATGATGGGCGATTCAAGAGTCTTTTGAAATGATCAGTCCATTGTTTGATTTGTTTCACCTCCTTGGTAAACAGGTTCCCTTGAACATGCGTTATTGGTTTCATCATCTGGACGATGATTGATTGATCTCCTCCCAGATAGCGGGCAGCCTGGTTATCTGATATAATGTTCTCAGGTCTCTTTTACCTGCCACCTGCCTGTCCTGCTTCTGTTACCAGCCAGTGTTTCGTAGAATTGTCTTTTGTCTTTCCTAGCACTCTTCTTCACTTATTTGTTCAGTACCGTGTACATTGAACTCAGCTTCTCGTTCTGTTGTTCATCTTTGCATTGAGTCATCTTCGCTTTCACCATCCTCCTCTCCTCGCCTTGATTAGCTTCCAGGTGTCCGTTGAGAGCCATTCCTTGTCGTGTCACTTCTTTCTTCCTAAAGCAGTTTTACACATTTCCCTGAATATCGCCTTCAGAGAGTTAGTTCTAGTGTTCCTCCACGCAGGTCAGGTTTCCTCAGTGATACCACGTAGTGTCTCCGATTTTGCTCTGGTCTGATCTTTAGTAAAGGTATCCCTTGTAGTTTTATCATTTAGTTTCTTAATGTTGAACTTGAATTACAGTGGTCTGTCTCCAGTTGTTCTGAAGGCTCCCAACTTCATCGTGAAGGTTCCTGGAAGTAGATGGTGATCTGAGCCTGCCCACATCTGCTCCCCTTCTCGACTTTGTGTCCAGCAGACTGGCTGCGTGTCCACATTCTTGAGCCAGTATTCAGATGAAGTTTGCCTGGTTTGTGATGTGTCCATCAAGCGAAATCCATGTTGTCCTGTGTATATTCTTGTGTTTGTACACGCCGCTTCCAGTCACCAAATCATTGAAAGTTTAGAAGCTTGTGAAGAGTTCTCCATTCTCATTCATTTGACCGGGTGAGAACCTCTCTACTCGTGATGAGTTCTCTTCCTGTATTATCTGCTCCCAGTTCGGCTGGCATTGATATCGCCCCTTGAGGATTTTGATGTCACCATTAGGGATGTTGTCCATCACTGTTTGTAGTTGTCTGTAAAAATCTCCTTGTTCTCTTGTTCCGCGTTGTTTGTAGCACTGTGAGTAGCATTGCATGATAACTGTGACCCTCCTTCCTTCCTTTTGAGATGAATCTTGCTGTCATGTTGCAGGAAGAGATTGGTTCCCACTGCATTGGGTCTTTGTCTGCAACTGGTGAAATCATTTGATCCACTCGGCGCCTCAGTATGCTCGTTGTTATCGTCTTTGTGACCAGACCGGAGTAGATTACTTTCTTTCCAGTTGACAATTTTGATAGTCGATATGCATTCCATCCGCTCTCGCAGATACCCAGCACTTCTGCGGAATATTTTAGCATCTCTTTGCTACCTGGGCAGCCTTTCCAATCTCGTACATAGTACGGACAGTCCACGTCCCCATTCTTCTCCTTGCTTTCACCAAGAAAAGACATTAACTGGCTGAATGGCTTCCCGAAGGCTTACGCCGGCCCGCAGTATCATTTCGCCTTTTTGATTCCAGCGAAGAATAAATTTGCTTTTTAAATTTTTTGTATTTATAATATATTTTTTGTGCGTTGAGGTTTGTGTAGCATGTATTACGTCGGCTCAGTTTAAAGACGGGTGCGGACATGGCTTCATTCCACATTGATGGAACATTCTTACTTTCCTGAACAGTTCAGTCACCAGCCTAACTAGAATCTCTCCACCATCTTCAAAAGAGCTATTGGTAGATCGCCTAGGCCTGATACCTTTAAGCGTTTCACTTCGGACCTCCGCTTGGTATGGTGAGCTGGTATTGACTAACCATGGAGCACTGTAGTTGGTGGGGTGTTAGCGGTGTTGGCCAGCTAAACTGCATTTCGGAGTACTCTACCAGCGTTCCTGGTGCCTTTTCAATTCAGTAATTGACGCACCATCCACCTCTCTAACACCATGCTTCTTGTTGTGGGTAGTTCGGATGAACTGAGACAGCTTTGGGCTATAGGCAGATGCAGCTGCTGGTTCTATTCCATGCGCACGTTCGTACCGACAGGCTTCGCAGTCCCAACGTAAACACTATTTGATCTTGCGCGTATTGTTATACTAGCTGTTCACACATACCACACAGGCTTGTTTCAAAGGTATACTTAGTGATTTCATTTTAGAGTGAAGCAACATTCAATTAGTCACATTTTAAACAATATAGTAGGCTATCTGATCAGTTATCAGTCCCTACATATGAGAGCAGATGGGTGTAGGTAGTCTTCACTGTATACTTTAATGGGTTTCAATATTTTGATTTCCTCTCACAGATCCACATCGTTAGTTCCAGATTAAATAAGTTAATTTGATATAACTGTGATACAGTAATAATAACTGGATGAAGTTTCAAGCTTAATTTATTGCTCATAATCACAAGCCAACCAACTCTTTCAGAGACAAACTTTGGCGGCTTAAGGACCTGATAGATCCAATTATGAAAAATAATATAAATTACCGAATGCTATTTAAATGACTGTGAAGTTAATTACTCATGTCAAACTAGTAGATCAGGGTGAGTTAGATTATCGGAACATAAGAATTTAGCTAGATCTAGGATGATGAAACCTGCTAAGTTAAATGTAATACATTCATTTGCATGTAATCATACAATAGGGTGGAATAGGGTAATACATTTAGATAGTGAGAGGTTAATCACTGGTTCTTTGTTTATCGAATCAACACTGAATACGTGCAACTGAAATTACTTAGTGCTTGCATCGAATATATGGGAAATATCAATAAAAAATGGCCGGAAGTAGGACTATATAAAGCAAGTTATATGAAGCTGCATGAATACATTGTTATAATTATAAACAATAAATTGCGCACAAAACGTCATCGAGTTATAAATAGTTTGTCACTTGTTATATCAAATAAATCAATGGGGAATTATATTCTACCACAGTGCTCAAATTGTGCTCTTTCAATAAGCCACCTCGTTGGGCTAACCGATTTTAACAACAATGGTACTGCAGGTCAGAGAAATAGCTTGTCGAATATCATCCAGCTTTCCAGGAGTATCTGAAGGTAATTGCTTGCATTACCGTCTACCTTCCATACAGTATCACTGGTGCTAATCCTGTTGCTGTCTGTGGATCAGATAGGCTGCAGCCAATTCTAACTGGTTCTGGATGCGATTGCAGTGCACGTCTCACTTAAACTTTCTGAGGATCAGGTCTTCAAGATACTGTCATAAGGCTTATATGGGCATATTAGTCTCACTCTGTTACGCATTTGGTTAGACAAATTCTTGTCGGGATGTAGAAATACGTTAACAGAACATTGTATCACACAACACAGATTCTTAACAGATTTTTACGCTGTTTTTTTAAAAGTTTCGATATGTGAGTACATAGATGATTTTATTTCTTGATGGGTAGTAGGGTAACTGATCCGATTTTTTCGGAACTTATGCTTTTCACTGATGAATGGGTTTTTGTGGGATTTTGAATGCAAATAAGTGGATGTTACAAAAAATAACTATTGGTTTTGTGTATTCACATAGTATTTTCCATAATTTTTAAAAAACTATCTGCTATGGTTACAACCAAATCAGTACATATATATATATATATATATATATATACATTAATGTTTTATTGTAGGTTGAGCGAGCGTCAAAAGTCATGGAATACCTTATCACTGGCTTCGCATCAGCTGATCTCTTCAGTCGTGAACTGATAGAATACTTTACTCTAGAGACTAAAACTAGTATTTCAAGAGTAGAGAAGTTCAAGTATGAATTTCGATTTCCAAAGGACGTGCCAAGTAAGCTCATTGATTATGTTACAGCACAGTGCTTTCCACTCTCTGGTTAAATGATCTGTTATGTAAATGTGGATTATTTCGCATTTTATTCAAATGTGTCAATATAGGTTTAAAAAATACAATTAAGAAAATAATATTTTAAACATTAGCATTTAAGATTCTATATTAATCAGTCTGTGCTTTTGTGTCAATCAGCCCAGATAATTTTAGTTAACATTCTCCCGACTTTCTAACATTTGAATGGGTCAGTTAGGCTTTATCGATTATTGTGTAAATATAACTTTTATTAAATGTCAATCTGTACTAATATGTGTACTAATATATGCCGTAATTTTATACAAGTATCTTAACTAATTTCAGTTAGCTAAGAGATTTTACATAAGTGTAGAATCTTTTGCCACCATGAATAAAAAGAAATTCAACAGGTGGAATAAAAACTGGCATGTAGAAGAGTGGTTAGCCTCTTTGATATGTTCACTGTGTGCAACTGCGTCGTCGATCAACACTTTATTGTGTAGTCAGTTAACTTCTTTTTTATCATCACAAGCCATATGATAATAGGGAGATTCATTAGTGATTCATTAGCTTAAGCTGTCAACCTTCAGTCGAATGCCTCCTGATTTCTACATCCACTAGACCCACTTCGATTTGGGGCAACCTAATGGTACCAGACGCCTGGTAGGATATGATAATAAAAATATTAAATTAGATCAGAAGAAACTACATGAGTTGTCACATTCACAGTGTGTCTTTTGAACACATTGTAGTACTTTACAATCTAAGTGTTAATTATAGTAAATATGTATTTCCATGCTGGAATCGTCTGCTTACAGTTACTGACCTGTGTGTACGTAAGTCGGCTGATTGATAGCTGGTAAAGTGTTCACAAATTTCATGCAACTTGTGATGCTGCTTGAGAAATTATAAAGTGGGATTAGTATTTCAGTGAATGATGAATAGACAGACCTTTATTATGCTTTACTGAACACTGGATAAAACGGATATATAATAATCGAATATTTACATACATATTAGTTTATTGGATAATAAGCGACATGTAATCTATTTATTCTCTGAGTAACCGGATACAACAGGCAGACTAAGAACGCGGGGGGTGGGGAAGTGTGGAAATCTTCCATTCTTTTTTGGTAGTGCTTTTTTTAAACAAAGAAACCAATAGAACACTAACAGTACAACTTTTGATCCTGAGCTTCATATGATAGTACCATTATTATCGTCATCATCAGTATAATGACGCGTAAAATATTCCCTAGCCCATCATTGCATTGTTTTAAAATGATTCTGCTTACCTGATAACTTTGCTATTCATAGGTGCATAATACTACCGCCAGATTGTAGACAACGATGATTAAACACAGACTCATATTGGCATTTTCTGTAGTGCTAATTTTTTTATTTAATAACTACCAACGTTTCGTTGTAAAGTAACAATGGAAATATAACCATCTGTAATATGAGAACCATATTCTGTATTATTAAACAATATGTTTCATGCGGTCGACCTTGGGTAGTCTTTCTTTGGATAGTGCATTCATTGGTGTGTTAACGAGTGAATGAATGAGTCAACTCAGGAAATTCAAACTATCACACATTACACCTCGAGAGTTAGCAGTAATGATACAGTTGTTATAGGTAAATCGACTAACTCAGTCTAATTTCCCCATTTAGTTTCAAGTAGTGGAAAACGCTACCTTAGGTTTTTGGTGGAGAGTTTGTTATAGGAAAAAATCCCTGGTAGTCCGCTGCGACAAAGAAAACTTTGACACTGAAAACCACGATTATTTCTCTGCCTTACACATAACTGCGTTTAAGTATTTTTGGAAGATGGAGAGTTGATTTTTGCATCCAGTTAGTAAGAAACTAAAGAGCCTTTAATTGTCATATGCACCTCTGGGTTCTTCCAGAAGATCAATATTTTAGCAATTGCACTACGGGCTACCATTAGTTTGTTTTACTTGATTTGTATTTTGTAAAAAATAATGTTAAAAACCTTTCTTCTGGAAAAACAGTCGATTGATATTGTAGCATGTAAAACATCGCTTCATCGGCATCAAAGAACAACAGACTACCCCAAACACTAGGATCAAGACTACTGCCGCCACAGTTCATCATAACCTTCACATATTCACATTGGCTAGAGAATATATTAACAGAGACACGCCTAGGTTGGAATGCTGGAATTTGAGCTATATACTTCCTGATAGGGGAAGTTTAGGCTATTGATCAATAATCCACCGATATTTAAACCTACTGGTTTTTAGTAAATAACTCTAATTCAGTTTAAAGTGTTAGAAATATTCTGGAAACGAGTAGACAAAGATGTCAGTTGACACTGTACTGTCGTCACCAATTCCAAAACGCTGAACCTGCTTGTTTTTCAGGCACCCAAGTGTCTCATTACGGTGTTTAGGAACCTGCTTTGGATCGTTTAATGCTGGGTTTCCTTATATGCGTTGCTTAGGTTTAAAATATTCCTACCAAGCAGAGAAATTTAAAATTTACAATATATATATATATATATATATATTCAGAATGAATAACCTTACTGTTGATGGCGTGATGATTTTGGAGTTGAAGACTTCTGTGTGTTGTGATAAAATGAGTTTTCAGCTGTCTACAAACATTGTATATTTCATCTACGTCAGGCAACTTTCTGGTTACAATTTCCATATTTACTTGACAGGAGAAAAATCTGTACGGTTGTTTGTGCGTATGTTGTTAGAAGAAGGTAGAAAACATGGATTTCATCTGATAAATGACGGTAAGTCAATCTTCATGTCAACAAAAGGTATCTGTGTTTTTTTAGTTAGCGTACGTTATTTTAGACTACTTGTATTCAGTGATATGAATAATCGTTTTCTTACATTCGGTTTGATCTCTCAACTCTGTGGGTCTCATTGTCTTGACCTGAAATTTCTACTGGAATAAAATTAGGTTAGGAGAAATCCGAATGCAATCAGACCCATGAAACATGACTGACTGACTTGTTTCGACATAGAACTTTGCACAGAAGTGCATTGGTTGAGGCTACCACACTGCATGTAGCACACACACACACACACAAAAGAGGTTCGGAATAACGATATTAAGCAGAAATGTGTAGAAAAAAGAATGGTGACATGGAAAAACAATTGAGTTTTATTGGATATCACGAAGAGTGAATTCATCTGAGCCAGCCATTGAGAACGATTTTGAGCCATGTCACCAATTGTCTCCAGCCATTGGTTCTTAGAATCCTGAGGACCTCAATTGGGCAGCCGACTCCCTATATTGCTCAAACTAACTAACTGTTAAACACTTCATAGACTGATTGCATGCTCTGGTTTGACCACCATCAGCTCTCTTCCAAGCCGATACTAATGTCACAGTTAACATTTCCCGTCAATGAAGGCGATGACTAGGCGTGCGTAATATACGTCCTAGCCATCTCGATCGATGCGGCTTCACAATCTCATCGACTGATTTTCCATACTCTTTACCTAACACTGCACAGTTAACCTCAGTATTACTCAATTTATTATACCGCCTAACATGGGCGATAGAACACAAACATCTGTAGTTAAAGACAGCTAGTCAGCCAGCTTTTTCATGCCTTCCCCTTTCAATGACTATGTCTCACAGTCACAAAGAAAGACAGGGCGAACTGCTGAGCGAGCAGTACACACGTCCTTTGATCGACAACTGGATATCACGTCTACTAAGCCAGAGGTGGCGTAAGTTGGCAAATAACCACACGAGCTTCCTGCATCCGTGCTGAGATTTTGTCAGCGTTCAACCCGTTGAGGTTGATGTGAATTCCGAAACAAGTGAGGCGGTCAACACGCTCAGCCACTACTTCACTCCCTGTCTTTAGGCTAGGAGTCAATGTGGTCCAGTCCTGTAGCATCATCTCACATTTGGCAGGAAATAGTCACATGCCAAACATTCGAAGATTTTTACTCAATGTGTTCAGAAGACTCAGTGTTTTATCAAAGTCTTTACCCTTGGAATACTATATCATCCACATATTCTAAGTCAACAAGACTATATACTGGTGAAAAGTTAATCCCTAAGTTTCTGAAGTCAGTTAGTGTTAAGTTCATTAGTGCGCCTGTAATGAAATTAAACAGAAATAGGGGCAATGGGCATCCTTGACGGACACCACTGGTTTTCATCACTTCATATGACAACTCTCTGTAAGCCCCTGAAATGGTCTTGTGAGTTCGAGTAGAGTACCGCGGTCGGTGGGATGTACTTTCTAGACACTTCCCTCACTGCCAAACACTGCAATAGTACCTTTCGGTCGTCATGGTCGAATTCTGCCTTCAGGCCAAGAAATATGGCAGTTATTGGACTCCAGTAAATGCGCCTATGATCCAGAATCTATCGAAGGGAACATGAATGATTGACACCGAAAATCTTATACATTAACATTTTCAGAGATCAATTAGATGACTAAGTGTCAGTCGTAATGATACGAATACCTGTGGTTTTCGTGTGTGTGGTGAATGTGTGTACATATAGGGAAAGTGATCTACTGGGATCCAGTCATCTCTTTTTTTCTATTCCAGTCTGAATGTTCGTATACACCTGTGAGTTAAAGGTTCCAATTTGTAAACCATTACTGTAGTTAAATGCAGTTACGTATTAATATACTGGCATCTCATAGCACATACTAGTGTGTAACAAGTGGTTATTAAGGTTGAGATATTACAACTAGTCAATACATGTTACTCTTATAGCAAGTGTCACATTTAGTGCCACCAACATAAGAGTAACGGGGTAAAGCACGAGTGTCGTCAGGGGAGAACGATGCTGTTTTGTTTACATTGCTGTAAATCATTGGTTAAGTTTTCTTCGCAATACTGCATATATGTAGTGGCCATCGGATGGCGACCGACGTAGTTGTCAATTTATTGCAGCTGATGTAATATTACTCATGTTTGCAATATGAATTTAACGATAATGGTACATCCTCTCTATTGTTAAATGTTGACAGTTGTTGCCTATAAGCAGCGCTTAGATTTAAATTTTTTGTTGAGTGACCCAAATTGCAGAGAATATAATTTTCTTCAGGCTTGCAGACATGTGTTTCTTGATGAGCATAGGTCGGTATCTCAAACGGTTTAGTCTTTTTGCCGAATGCATTCCAACTTTTTGCACAGCAAGATATGCTTGGAATTAGCTTTTGCTGAATCTAGTACTGTGACAAGGATTATCGGCACAATGTTCGAAGCTGGGAAGAGTGCTCAGATTGCCGAGGAAATGAGAAGATATAGTGTGTGGATGCTCGGAATCTCTAAGAGCAGATGGAATGGCAGTCCGAACTGTGAACTGGAGACGAAAACCACGAGCACACTAAGGAAATGGTCATCATGATGTCGCCGACAGCGTCCAAAGCTGTGATGCAATGGGAACCAATCTCATTCAGGAAAACTAGAACAAGATTCAACTGAAAAGGAAGGAAGGTTACAATCACCCAATGTTACGTGCCTGGAAACACCTCAGAACAGGAGAAGAAGGGAGATAGTGATATGATTATGGACAATAAATTTTGTTCGGAACGTCATCCAGTAAATAATACTGTTTCACTGTGTGATATACCTAATAAACAAACTAATATGGAATTACTTACTACCACAGTGCCCAAGTATTACACATATATTAAGAAGAAGGGAGACTTTGAGGATAACTGCAAGCAGTAATACATCAAACATGAAACGGCGACATCAATGTTCCAATGGGAAAAATGAATGTAAAGTAAACTGCGAGGTAGAAAACTGATTATGGGTCGATAGTCTCTTTGTGAAATGAATGAGAACAGCGAACTATATGCAGACTGCTGTGCGTTCAATGCTTTGGTGATTGGAGACGCAGAGTGTATGAGCGCGAAGGCATACATGCAGTGACACGGGTCTCACCTGATGGACACCCGAAATCAGATAAACTTCATCCCAATGGTGCTCAAGAAAGTGGAGACTCAGCCTCCTAGACACAATTGCGGTCTCAGGTCCTCATCTTGTGCAAGGGGCCTTCAGAGCAACTGGAGATAGACCACAATTTAAGTTCAATCAGAAAGTGAAAAACAGTACCACAAAGGACTCCTTCACTTCAATCATCAGAGCTAAGTTGGACCCAGGGGGCTTCCCATGGCGACTCCGTCAATTTGGCGGTACAGAATGTTGTTGAACTGGAACTGTACGTCTTTGGCGCACATAAGTAAAAGTTGTTTGAGTTCGTTCTTGGGTAGAGGAAGAAGTTCGGCATGTTGACATATAATTTGTATTGTTTCTTCCAATGGGATTTTTGTAAACAGTGAAGAGACGTCGAAGGACACCATAAATTTATTTGAGATGCTTACATTCTCTAATTGTTTAGCGAATTGGAAGGTGTCTTTCAGGCTGTAGACTGCTAATTTACAACGGATCGGTTCTAACATTTCTGCTAGCCACCTAGCTACTCTGTGATACGGCGAATTAATCATAGATAATATTGGTCTCATAGGGATGTCAGGCTTATGCATCTTTGGTAAGCCGTACAGGTAAGGCAATCTGGATCCCTTAGGCTTCAGTCCGTTGTATATGTTGTTGTCAATCAACTTTTTCTTCAAAAGTTCTCTGAGCTCCTTTGTGATCCGTCTTTCCATCGATTCGGTTTGATATTTCTTCGACGGATCAGTTCGAAATGTTGATGAGTCATTCAGAACTGATTCCACTTTTTTCACATAATTATCTTTATCCATTATCACAACACCTGATCCTTTGTCAGGTCGGAGAATAACAATAGACTCATTCTTCATTAAGTTTTTTAATGCTATTTGGTGATCTTTCGACAAAACTGCAGATTTTGGATTCGGTGATATGATATATTGATTAGCAATGTCGACAAGTCTAGATTTAAACCAACCTTGTTTTTCGTCATCCACTGGTTTTAATTCGGACAGTTGATGGTATAAACCTTCGAACTGGGTTTCGACATCAATTTTGTTGGCAAATTTCGTCGGAATGTGGAATCTGAATCCTAGTGAAAGTGCTTCTGTTTCTATCTGACTCAGTTTATAACTTGACAAGTTGAATACGAATTTATCAGGATTCTCCGGAATTCCTTCACACAGTGTTTCTTTAATCAGCGTCTTCGATAAAGTTTCCTCGAATTTTACGCTTGTTTTGTCCTGAACCTCTCGAATAAAATTGGTGAACTTGATTCTACAGACTAAGTTCATTTCATTTAAGATATGGTCAAAGCCACTAGCTTCTTCCTTTAATCTAGAAATGAGTTGTTTGGTGTACTCGATTTGGGATTTCGCCACACTTCGGGGATTTTTTGGCGATGGTGGCAACTTGCAAAGCAAAGCCTGACAGACTTGAAAAACTGGCCTGGAAAACAGCAGGTATATAGACATTCTTCAAAGAACCTCAGACGAGTCAACTCTTTAGATGTCCTGCACCGTATGGTCACCAGGCGATTCAGTGAC